TCTGTGTGTCTGTTTATCTGTCTGTCTACTAGTGTGTCTGTCTTTCTGTCTACCCGTGTGTCTGTCTTTCTGTCTACCTGTGTCTATGTCTACCTGTGTGTCTGTCTTTCTGTCTACCTGTGTGTCTGTCTTTCTGTCTACCTGTGTGTCTGTCTTTGTCTGCTTGTCTGTCTCAAAGCCACTCATTAAGAGTGTACGTGTACTTGGTCTTGAAGACGCCATATTAATAATGATAATAACAATAATAATCACTGAGGCGCATTAAATGTGTATAAAACGTTAATATAGACATTTTGCTTAATCCATGATTTTTTTTCAAAATTATATAATAAACATGCTACATAACATATAAATTAACAAATATGAGATGTTTTTCTGGTTGGCTTAACAGTGAACAGGAATCATTCATGTCCGGGCTGGTAACAACAACAATGTTTGTTTACATAACTCGTGAACATTCTACATTCTCATTCTCTCATTTATTCATTTAATCTTGTTTACTCACCTCTCACTCTACATTAAAACTACAGATATTTTAAGGTAAGCAATGAGTGGACACGATTATTATATTATAGCTTAATAATAATTATAATATTAGTACATATGTATTATTGTAATAATAATGATTATTAATATTATTATTAATTTAGGGCACTGGAGCACAGATCCACTGTATAGCACTTTGTCTGGATTTTTTGGGTTATCCTAGGTAATTTATAATATGTATGATAACTTGACTTACGTGTACCAGTGAGAGAGAGAGAGATACAAAGAGACAGCCACATTCGGTCAGCCAGTAAGCCAACTACCCACCCACCCACCCATCCAGCCACCCATCCACCCATCCAGCCACCCACCCATCCAGCCACCCACCCATCCAGCCAGCCACCCACCCATCCACCCGGCCAACCACAGACCCGGCCACCCAGCCAGCCAGCTGGATACGTATTACACATGTTCCAGAGTTGTTTCTCTTTACTTAGGGTATAGGTTACACAACATTCTGGCAGGATGACACTACCAGTGGTATTCTCCCATTCCACTGTGTCGACAATACATAAAGATAATAGTAACATATGATACTGTATGTGATGTAAAATTTACAATACATATCACTACCATGTATACATTATATACAGTACATAAATAATTAAAATACAACAATAGAAGTAAATTATGGTAAAAAGAATGAAATAATGATTGTACATTACATTACAGTACTATGTAGGTAGTTTATATAGGAAAGGTTTGACATTATGCCCTACCCAGTATGTCGGCAATTTTCAAAGGTTCAACTTACGTCCATTTTGACTTACGACCGGTTGGTCGTAAGTTGGATGGTACCTGTATATATAAAATATGAAATAATTTTAAACACTTGAAATTTTGGAGTTTCCAGACATAATGGAGAGACTTAGTGCATACACACTCCACCAATATTCAAAACTCTAAACCTACGCACAATACAAAACATCCATACTTATTACTGCACCTACTACATACATAGAACACTTAACTCTGACATAAACCCTCCCCTCAAACATCTTACCAACCTCAACAGAACACATGACCATAACACAAGACACAGATCACTCTTTGATGTTCCTCGTGTCCATCTCACGCTATGCAAAAACTCAATGCACATAAAAGGCCCTAAAATCTGGAATTCATTACCTGTGAATATAAAAGAAACACTGTCTGTTTATAAATTCAAGTCTCTTCTCAGAAATCACTTACTTACCCGCAACTAAATAAATATTGAATAATTGTATCTCATAAATTGTATCTCATATATGTATCTCATTATTGTATCTCATAAATGTCAACCTGTGACCCAATCAAACTTTGTTACTATTTAACTTCATTACCTAACAGAATACTCCATACTACTGATTACACAGCAACACAGTAAATGACCATATGACCTGTCTTTGTAATACTCATTTGTACTAAATTGTTATCTGTTTTACAATAATTTTTGTACCCCTGAATATATCATTGCTTAGTTAATCTTAAGTTAATTTTAAGCCTGCCTATAATGCTCTGCATACAAGGGGCTTTGGCATGCTGCACTTTAAAAATTGTATTCCATGTACTTCTCTGTATCATGTTCAAATTAATAAATAAATAAATACCGATCTCACGGAGAATGTAAACAAACCGGGTGGGGCATGGTGACCGTATTAGAAAGTCAGGTGGGGGGGAGCCGTATAGAGAGTTTTGGCCATAATTCGAAATGACCGTATTAGTGGAACGCCGTAAAGCATGGCCATATGGTATGTGTATTTTACTTTTTTATTATTTTTTTAATGCCTAGTTCTATTGCTAACTTAATGTGTTAGTGTAAACTTTTCTTTCAACAAACCAGCCATATCCCACCAAGGCTGGGTGGCCCATAAAGAAAAAAAAAAGTTTCTCTTTAAATTTAGTAATTTATACAGGAGAAGAGGTTCCTAGCCCCTTGCTCCCGGCATTTTAGTCGCCTCTTACAACATGCATGACTTACGGAGGAAGAATTCTGTTCCACTTCTCCATGGAGATAACAGGAAATAAACAAGAACAAGAACTAGTAAGAAAATGGAAGAAAACCCAGAGGGGTGTGTATATACATGTATATATATATACAGGAGGGCCCCACTTATACGGCGGGTTAGGTTCCAGGCTACCGCCGTAAAGCGGAAACCACCGTAAAGTGGAACACCCTTTTTTTCCACTTACAAATGCATACAAACACTAGATAACAAGTTTACACTAACATATATTATGTTAGCAATAGAACCAGGCATCAAAAAACAATAAAAAAGTACAATACACACATAGTGCACTCATTACTTACCTTAAAATATTTATAGTCTTAATCTAGGGTGAGACAAGTAGTATTTATTGTAAGAAATCAAGTGTGGTATGTATGGTAGTCAGCCAGGCTACCATACCAGGCCACCCCACCCACACATACTATTCTATGATATTTAAGCATCCCAGAGCGATAAAATGTATATACAGTTCACTCATTACTTACCTTAAAATATAGGGTGAGATGAGTAGTATTTATTGTAAAAAATCAAGTGTGGTATGTATGGTAGTCAGCCAGGCTACCATACCAGAGAGAAAGAATGAGTGCATGAGAGAGGACAGGCGCAGAGTTATGTAAACAAACCAGGCGAAGGTAAGTTTTGTAAACAGTGTACACGTCTGGTTTGTGTACAAGTTACATTGTGTACAGGTTGTCTCTACATTGATACGGTAGAATAAATAAAGAAGAACACTCCCATTCTCATGTAACATCATTTTGAGAAGAAATGATGCTCTGAGTGAAGGCAATGGAAGTAAGTCACTCTGACTTTTTTTGGTTATCCTAGGTTCTCTACACATATGTTGTTATGTATTTATGTTATGTATCGTGTTTATTATATAATTTTGAAAAAAATATCATGGATGGATTAATGAAATGTGTATATTAACGTAATATACAACATTTAATGATACACCGAGCTCAGACAGCGTAAACAAACAAACTGAACAGGTTGTTGACGATCACTCGGTCAGGCGAAATAGACGGTATTAATACGTGTCCAGTTTTAGTTCATTCATGTACATTTGTAAGAGTTTGTGAAACTTTTACCTTATAATATTTTTATTATGATTATAATAATTAAATCACGAAACAAATACTCTTACACTGTGTACAAGTTAGCACAGAATTATAGCTATAAAGTGAAGGCATACGAAAGGAATATTTTTCTACAGTTATTCCTAGTAACAGGTGACGGGCTAGAGAAAACGTAATTCTTCCGACACTTCTACAAACCGTTTGGTAAACATCTCATATATATTTGTATAAATTTTTATACTGTGGGTGCATGTATCATGTTTGTGTGTTACATAATGTGTTTCTTATATAATTTTGAAAAAAATATCATAGATAGATTAAGGGAAATGTCTATATTAACGTAATATGCGACATTAATGCGCCCAAGAGATTATTATTATTATTATTATTATTATTATTATTATTATTGCATCAAGAGTAGAGAGACTCTTAGTGATTTTAATGTGTACCTACATGCCAGCACAGTGTGTAAGTTTATTTAGGTACAGGTGTACACAAGTTTAATTATCAAGTACAATACATATAAAATATACAATAACTTTAAAACACTTGAAATTTTGGAAAGTTTCCAGACATAATAAGGAGATGTGCTCAGGGAGAATGTAAACAAACTCGGTGGGCCGCTGTGACCGTATTAGAAAGACAGGTGGGGGGAGCCGTATAGCGAGTTTTGGTCATAATTTGAAATGTCCGTATTAGCGGAACGCCGTAAAGCGAAACGCCGTAAAGCGGGGCCCTCCTGTATATATATATATACAGTGGACCCCCGGTTAACGATATTTTTTCACTCCAGAAGTATGTTCAGGTGCCAGTACTGACCGAATTTGTTCCCATAAGGAATATTGTGAAGTAGATTAGTCCATTTCAGACCCCCAAACATACACATACAAACGCACTTACATAAATACACTTACATAATTGGTCGCATTCGGAGGTGATCGTTATGCGGGGGTCCACTGTATATATATATATATATATATATATATATATATGCTTGTACATGTATATGTAGAGTGACCTAAGTGTAAGAAGAATTATCAAGACATACCTGAAATCTTGCATGTTTATGAGACAGAAAAAAGACACCAGCAATCCTACCATCATGTAAAACAATTACAGGTTTCTGTTTAGTGTAGACTTGTTATCTAGTATTTATATGCATTTATAAGTGGAAAAAAAGGGTGTTCCACTTCACGGCGATTTCCGCTTTACGGCGGTAGCCTGGAACCTAACCTGCCCTACTGTATAAGCAATTTCTGTGATTAACAGACAAATAAAAATGCAAACCTACAAACACAGGATCTTTCCCTTGATACACAGTTTTTAACACCATTGCTGTTATAAGTGCTTAACATAGCTGGACACTTCGATATACTATAGTGATACATACCTTGAGACCTTAGTTGCAGAGATTGCCTCAAGGAATGTGTAAGTGGCTACCTCAAGTGAAGCACTACTGGAGAGTCCACCTCCAAGTGGAACTGATGTAACTACTACTGCATCAAAGCCACTAACAACTCCTGCAGGGTGAGTGGAACTGATGTAACTACTACTGCATCAAACCCACTAACAACTGCAGGAGAGGAACTGATGTAAGTACTATTACATCAGTCACTAACACCCCCTGCAGGTTAAGTGGAATTACCATAGGTGCTACTGTGCCAAAGTCACTAATACCTCCTGCAGGGTAAGTTAGTACAATGGAACCCCAGGTTTCGAACTGCTATCAACTCAACCAATTATGTAAGTGTATTATTGTAAGTGCTTTTGTACGTGTATTTTTGGGGGGTCTGAAATGGACTAATCTAATTTACATTATTCCTTATGGGAAAAAATTAGTTCTGTAACGGCACTTGAACAGGATTCTGAAATGAATAAAGTTCGAAACTCGGGGTTCCATTGTATTAGGAAATATTGAGTGAAACTGATGAGGTGCCAAAGTCAATGGCACCTCCTGCAGGGCAAGGTAATATCAGGAAAGGGAAAGTGGAACTAGCATAGTTACTACTACACCAAAATCACAAACACCTGCATCAAAAGTTATTATTGTGAAAAGGTGAGCAGAACTGATGCACTTATTATTATGAGCCACTAACAAGTGCGGGGGAGTTAATATTAGGGAACGGTGAAAGCATACATAACATTCTTAAAACAGTCAACAGTACGAGAAACTTTCTGATTTAAGAAAAACAAATGTTTGTTAGTGGGATAAATTGTAAAGGACCTGCCTAGTATGGGCCAACAGGCCTGCTGCAGTGTTCCTCCTTTCTTATGTTCTTATGTTCTTATAAAATCAGGTATGCATACAAAATTCAGCTGTTTTAAGAAAAAGGCATGCTGCTGTACAATACTATAAAGATAACAAGCCAGAATATTAAAAAAATATATTGGTTATTAAGTCATGACTTTAATCAACACCTTGAATATTTTCTATTAAATTAGGAAATCATAATTTTGGCTTGTGAAAAATACATACCAGGAATCAGTTTAAAAAGACATGTAAGCAAACATTAAGACATATGAGAAAAAATATTTCAGTCCTGGGAAACTATACATATCTCTTGAACCTAATCTGTAAGAGCAGGTCAGTGTAACTCATGTACTCTCAAAGCAGCACCCTACTATATTTAATTTCGTAACCTTACTTAAACTATGATTTACTGTATGTATGTGTTCTCGGTAAGGTACGTAATTCCTGCTGAGTATCAACATGAGCTTGACATGGGTATACAGTGGACCCTCAGTACTCAAACAGCTCCCTACTTGAACAAAGCTCAGCACTTGATCAAACAAACATGACTATTTTGCGTTTCTTCACAATTTTATTATATTATTTCTATAAATAAGTCACCATGGGGCCTATGAAGATTAGTGATAACAGCCAACCAAAAAGAAAATTAGATGGGAAGAATTCGTTCGATGTTTGAACGGATCAGTACTGGAACAACCTTCTGGAATGAATTAAGTTCGAGTACTGAGGCTCCAGTGTACTGTACTTAACCAACTTCTATTTAACACATGTATTAAATGCAGCATCGCACATTTGTTACATAATGAGATAAGATTATGAGGTAAAGTCATAAGGTGTGTTAGGTAAAGTTATACGGACAACAGTAACCTTAACCACATTAAGTATATTTGTTCTGTAATGTTTTGTCTTAGAAATTTCCCTGATATTTTTCTGTTTCTTCTGGTCACTTAGGTCAGATGGATTATAAATTCAGAACACCTCTGGCCCCGATTAATTTGGTATTTGGTTGTAAAGTACTTACGTATCTTACTTGTAGGGTACTTATTTAACTTACTTGTAGGGTATTTACTTTACTTACTTGTAGGGTACTTACTTAACTTACTTGTAGGGTAATTACTTTACTTACTTGTAGGGTACTTACTTAACTTACTTATAGGGTACTTACTTTACTTACTTGTAGGGTCTCGGCGACATATACGCATCGGCGATTTCGCCGACTTTGAGCCCTATTTCTAGCCAATTTTGTTGTTCCCGTTGACCAAACTCATAGCTATTTCTTTAGAACTCCATTTTTTCTATCAAATGAGTACAAGAAACCACCCATTTACCAATTTGAACTACCCAATAAAATGGTCAGAAATTGGCAGTTTGGCCAATTTCGCGCAAATTAAAAAAGATGCCAATTTCAAAATGAGGTCCAGAATAAACAATGTAGACATTCTTGGTACTAAAATAACATATCCTCTGTTCAATAGTCACATCTCTAGGCCCCTCTTACATTACTATTGCTTTCTATTTTGATTTTTTATTCATACAAAAAATAGATTTAGTGTTATGCAGACTACTGCATTATTGTAAAAATGGTATAAATAATATCAGTGCACTAGTGAAAGAATATTAGACTCCCCAGTTGACGTGTATTGGACGTGTGGTGTGATTTGTTTACTCCTGAACATTGGTAAAAATCAAACATTTCCTCTACTCTGAGCTCAATTTCAAGGTAGTTTTCATCATGAAACTAATCAAAATCATCTCTATTTCTGTAATATGTGTTCCATTTTATCACACGAGACCATGAAAACGAGAATACAACGATAAATACTATATGAAAAAACACCTCAAAGTTGGCATTTTAATCTACTGCAGCACTGCGTGCTGCAGGATTTTTTTTTATATGGTGCACACTGACCACACAGACCCATTCTCTCATATGTTTGCCTACCAGCTTTCTCCTGCTTGATTTGAAGCCGCTAGAATTATTGAGTATATATACGTACGTCCGAAACACTGGCTCATAAGACGTATATATACGACCAAAACAGTCAAAGGGTTAACTGTACAAACGTTCATGTACGCTCTTACTGCTAGACTCCAAACATAGGTTAATGTTTTATTTTTCCTGCCTTCAAATTTGGTGCCAGAGGCTTGATAGGCCTAGGCTGTATAGAATGGGTCTTAACACTCAGTGTGCACAGTATTAAAAAAATCTGGGACCACTTAGTACCTTGTGGGAGCACCAGTTCAACTGAGTGCCAGCTAGAGCAAACAGCATGGCACACCCCAGGGATTCACTAATGCCATGTTGTATTAACCTTTTGAATGTTTTGGTCTTACGTGCCACTGTTTCGGACGTATTTATACGCGTAAATTCTAGCGCCTTCAAATCAAGCTGGAGAAAGCTGGTGGGCCCACATGTGAGAGAATGGGTCTGTGTGGTCAGTGTGCACCACATAAAAAAAATCCTGCAGTACGCAGTGCATAATGAGAAAAAAAAAATGACCTCTTTTTTTGGATTAAAACGCCGACTTTGAGGTGTATTTTCATATAGTATTTATCATTGTATTCTCGTTTTCATGGTCTCAGGTGATAAAATAGAAAACATATTACAGAAATAGATATGATATTGATTAGTTTCACGATGAAAACGACCTTGAAACTGAGCTCAAAGTAGTGGAAATGTTCGATTTTTACCAATGTTCAGGAGTAAGCAAATCACACCACACGTCTAATACACGTCAGCTGGGGAGTCTAATATTCTTTCACTAGTGTACTGATATTATTTATACCATTTTTACAATAATGCAGTAGTCTGCATAACACTAAATTTTGTATTTTTTATATGAATAAAAAATAAAATTAGAAAGCAATAGTAATATAAGAGGGGCCTAGAGATATGACTAATGAACAGAGGATATGTTATTTTAGTGCCAAGAATGTCTACATTGTTTATTCTGGACCCTGTTTTGAAATTGGCATCTTTTTAATTTGTGTAAAATTGGCCAAATTGCCAATTTCTGACTACTTTATTGGGTAGTTCAAATCAGTAAATGGGCAGTTTCTTGTACTCAACTGATAGAAAAAATGGAGTTCTAAAGAAATAGCTATGAGTTTGGTCAACTGGAACAATAGAATTGGCCAAAAACAGGGCTCGAAGTCAGCGAAATTGCTGATGCGTATATATCGCCGAGACATATATGCATTTACTCACGGAATTATGCGGGAGTGTAATTCCTGAGTTTTTGGCCAAATTTCGTACTTTTGGTGTCATTCTCTATCATTTCATAAGAAAAAATAATTTTTTTTTTTCCAAAAATTTTGTGACACATAATGACAGAAAGAGTTAAAGGAGTGGATGCTTCAGCACAGGTATACAGCACTGATAAGCCAACAGTTTCTTAAACACTGACCACCACTGGTAGACTTTTTTGGGTTATCCAAGGTAATCTACACATGTGCTGCTATGCATGGTACTGTCTTCTTCTTTCAACAAATTGGCAGGGTGGCCCAAAAAGAAAAACGAAAGTTTCTCTTTTTAACTTTAGTAATGTATACAGGAGAACGGGTTACTAGCCCCTTGCTCCTGGCATGCTAGTCACCTCTTTTGACACGCATGGCTTATGGAGGAAGAATTGCGTTCCACTTTCCCATGGAGATAAGAGGAAATAAACGAGAACAAGAACTAGCAAGAAAATAGAAGAAAACACAGAGAGGTGTGTATACAGTAGGACCCCAGTTTATGGCGTTTCGTCTAACGGCGTTCCGCTAATACTGCAATTTCAAATTATGACCAAAATTTGCAATACGGGGAGCAGTCTTTCAAATACAGCACTCCCCACCTGGTTTGTTTACATTCTCAGTGAGCACATCTCTCTATTATGTCAGGAAATTTTCCAAAATTTAAAGTGTTTTAAAGTTATTGTGTATTTCATATATGTACTCTGATAATTATACTTATGTGTACCTGCACCTAAATATACTGTACTTGCACACTGTGCAAGAAATTTCTTTTTCATATGCCTTCACTCTTATTTATCGCTATTCATGACCCTTGTGGGTTTAGTGTTTCTTTTTTATTATGATTATAATAATAATTTGTAATATGTAATAATACAGTGGGGCCCCACTTATATGGCAGGTTAGGTTCCAGGCTACCGCCATAAAGCGAAAATCACCGTAAAGTGGAACACCCTTTTTCTCCACTTATAAATGCATATAAATACTAGATAACAAGTTTACACTAACATATATTAAGTTAGCAATAGAACTAGG